GTAGTGGTTGGTGTTGAGGGACGCCCATCGAACCCCTATCGTGAAAGTCCCAACAACTAAGTGTAAAATGGCAAGCACACGTAGTGTCTACGTTACAGGAAAACCGGATGGCCAAAAGTGCAACTTTGTCATAGCAAACCCTTGTGAGTATCAAGGTGCTAAATCTCCAAAGAAGTACCAGAAGCCATACAGAAGCTCTGTGGTGTAACAGGACGTTATACAAGGTTGCGAGGACAAGTGTGGGTAACTATTGAGCTCATGGGCATAAAGGACAGGCCCATGCATATTAGGGTTGGACTACTTTCCAAACGTGGCCTGACCAGTGACCTGCACAATGAAAGTATAACCCCTGTAGAGTTGTATTCAGTATTTCTATAGATACAACCTAATATCCTATTTGTCCTACATCTAGCAACAGCACCTTGCTTGGATTGCTTTAGAGACTGATCCTATTGCACCAAGATCCCTTTCATTCATAACACTATTAAGGTTATTTCTATCCAAATTATACTTATAATTCAAATTATGAAAACACACATGCATTATTTTGCATTTATTATAATTAAAACCCATGTGTCATTTATTTGCTCAACTCACTAAATGATCTAACTCATTTTGTAAATCAGCAGCAGCATCTTCACAGCTAACAACACCCAAGACCTTAATATCATGTTCAAAGTTAAGTAATTTATTGACTATTCTTTCATCTATGTCATTGGTGTAAATCAGAAAGAGCAAAGATCCCAAGATTGAGCTCTGAAGTACCCCACTTGTGACATTAATCCAGTTTGACTGAACGCCATTTGTAACAACTCTCTGCTTTCTTCCATCCAGCCACTCTTCTATCGAATTTGCTAACTTATCCCCCACACCTATAGAATTAATTTCTACAAGCCTTTTATATGTTACCTTATCAAATGCTTTCTGAAAATCCAGATACACCAAATCTACAACCTTACCCTCATCTACATAAGCAGTAACTTTTTCAAAGATTGTTAAAAGATTTGTTAGGCAAGATTTTACCTTAGTGAAACCATTTTGACCATCCAATAAAATTCTAAACTTTGTTAAATGACTTTGCAAAGCATCTTTTAGCAGACTTTCAAAAACTTTCCCGACAACTGATGCAAGATTAATGGGTTTATAATTACTGGATCAATTTTAACACCTCTCTTGAAAAGAGGAGTTACATTAGCTAACTTCCAATCCTCTGGTACCTGCCCAATATTCAAGGACTGACAAACAATAGTAGTAAGTGGCTCACATATCCAATTTTAACCTCCTTCAAGCCCCCCAGTGGCACAGCGATACGTTTGCAGACTTACAGCACTAGAATCTCGATACTCGTGGTGGGCAGAGCACAGGTAGCCCAATGTGTTGCTTTGTGCTTAATTACAAACAAACCTCCTTCAAAACCCTTGGGGAAATATTATCTGGCCCAGGAGCCTAATCGTTTTCTAAATGTCCCAATTTTTTCTTAACAAGCTCAGAATTAATGCAGTCATCTTGTTGGATCTCGTTTCCATTTATCAACTGTCCATGATGTGGAATACTGCTTAAATCTTCATTAGTAAAAACCAAAGAAAAAGCAAAATTTAATAATCCAGCCATCTCATAATCATCAGATATTAGCCTTCCTTTATCATCCCTCAAGAGTCCTACCCCCATCCTAACATTGTTTACCCTTAATGTATGTACAGAAATCCTTACTGTTAATTTTTACATTTTCAGCCAACCTTTTCTCATACATTCTTGTTGATGTTCTTAATATCTTGTTTCATCAACTTTCTTGATCTTCTAAATCTCCTGTCATACCAGTTAATTTAAACTTCTTATGCTTTTCTTGAATTTTTATCTCTTAAACTCTTTGTGAGTTAACCTGATTCTTTACTTGTAGCTACTCTTTTTTTTCTATAAGGAATATGTTTACCTTGAACATTGAAAAATTTTACACATCTCATCAGTGTCTCCAGATAACTCAGCTGCCCAATGCACAACAGATAATTTTTGTCACATTCCTTCAATATTTGCATTTTTGAAATCTGTAACCCAAATATCATTATTCTTTATCTCCATATGCAACAAAACATTGAACCTAATAGAGCAATGATCACTTGCACATACATGTTTACCAGTTTCCACCATCATGATCATTTCTCCATTGGAAGTTAACAATAAATCTAAAATAGCATTGTTTCTAGTAGGTTCCTTGACTAACTGGTTAAGAAAGCCATCTTGAACAGTTTCCAAAACCCTTTTTCCCTCATGGTTTGACTCTAGAAGGAAAAACTATAGTTTGACTATTACCTTGTTTAAATTTTAATAGAATGTAAAAATCTATATATATATTTGTATTATTTAGTTCATTCCATTCTCCACATACACTCACTTTAACTTTTAAAGACATAAGGTGTGTTACCAAGATATTGTTAGTGTATTAATCTTAACAGCGCAGATAGCCCTCATGTAGCTTTGCGCAAAATTCAAACCAAAATCAAATTAATTGTAACCAGTAAACATGAGAAAATTGTGTGGCTTTGAAACAGTACTCTTTGAAGTACCGCCATTCATTCTACAGTTATGGGTAAGGAAAACTTTTTTTTTTTTCAAAAGTGAAATTGGTGTAGGTGGTAGAAATGAAACATATAACGATATTGTATGTTTTATATGTTATTGACAATTTTGCTCATTATATCATAGTCATCTCACTGATTTACAAAACTTGAAGTTGTAGGTGTTCTGTTGTAACTTTGCATATTTTGATGATTATTTTTTATCCAGTTTCAATATATAAAACACTGTGCAAGTAATACTGGCTAAAAATATGTACCCTACATATACTGATTGAAGAAATCCAAAGTATATTTTCCGTCAGTAGTTAATCTCTATGCACCCACCTAAAATTTATTGTAAAAGCAGTTATGAAAACAAAGTCTCGTTCATCAGCAGAAGTTTGTTCTCTGTGATTGGCAGTCATCATTGAAAACTAAAGAAAGGAAGTCTCACACACACTACAAAGCTCCCTCATAGTGTGCCAATAACTGCTCAAAAAACTCAAATTGCATGGCTCACAAAACAAAGAAGTATTCTATTGATACAATGTACAGTACATGCAAAAATTACTGCATACAGGAGAGAAAACTAGGTTGGGATGAAGATTTACTGGTTTTGGAACACCCATACAATGCACAGTCAGTAAGAAGTAATCACACACACTACAAAGCTCCCTCACTTCACAATACTTGTATATTGTTAGAAGACACTTTTTCACATAATTGTAATACCAGTTTTTCTAATCATTACTTACTTTACTGTTTTGCCCTTTGTGAAAAATTGACATTAATTTGTTTCCAGTTTTTTTTTCTTTTTATGTCATCTTATGTAGAAACTAAATGAATATAATATGTCTTTGTCACTTTCTTGGTGGTTCACAGTCATATCATCCTTGTGTGATATTTAAGGACTTTACTCAGTTTTTGTTTACTTATGTATATGTGTTATTTGGTAATGGCTGATCATACAATTTATATATTGAATTTTTTCATCATTGCAAATTTTGTTTTGTTTAGCCAGTCTTCAAACAGTTAAAACGAGAATACCACAGCCTTTGTCGACAGATTCAGAAATCAGGTGTGTCATTTGAGGATGTCCAGAAGTTTCTCAGAGGAAGTGGTAGGTCAAATGTTTACTTATACATGTGTATCATGAAACTGAGAAGTTGTTGTGATCTCTGTGTAAGAACATACTCACCCCAGAAACCATTTTAAATAAATACATTAAGAACATAGGTGAAGAACTATGCATATCTAAGATTGCTACATATATTTACTCTTTTAATTTACTACCATGTTTTCAATAACGGAAATTGTTTCCCTGTTAAATATATGTATCATAATATCCACAATTCAATGTTCATACATAAATACAAGTTTCCTACATAGAGTATTAAAAATTCTATGAAAATGAAACAAATCTAGAAGACACTTATGACATAACCTATTTGTGCTATTTTCACAGTGGTAACATAATTGCATTGATATATATGTTGGCTTGTTCATATACATAAATTTTTACCTTCAACTTTAGCTGTTTTTGTGAGGCTGTCTTCTTCACTGTCTTACTTCATATATTATTATTCTCCTTTACAAGACATTTCTGTATATGTCAATAGTGCTGTTGAATATATTGTACTCATGCCAAAAGCATTTTTCATCTTTGATAGTATTACTGCTTAAACTATTTTTCTTTGTGTTTTGTATTGCACATTATGTAGTTTTTATTTCTATAAGTTTCTTTTTTTGAGTCTCTAATTTTCACTTACATAATTCTTTTTTTTTCACCTTGTATGTGTTTTATAGTTATATTCAATGCTTCCTGACATTATTATTTCTTATTAGTTAAGAAAGCTTAGTATCAGAATATTAGATTTAGGTGAAACACAAACCTCAGTTCTGAAAGAGTAGTGCTTGTCCCTGTATATTAATGGATAAGTTAAGAAAGCTTAGTATCAGAATATTAGATTTAGGTGAAACACAAACCTCAGTTCTGGAAGAGTAGTGCTTGTCCCTGTATGTTAATGGATAAGTTAAGAAAGCTTAGATCAGAATATTAGATTTAAGTGGAACACAAACCTCAGTTCTGAAAGAGTAGTGCTTGTCTCTGTATGTTAATGGATAAGTTAAGAAAGCTTAGATCAGAATATTAGATTTAGGTGAAACATAAACCTCAGTTCTGAAAGAGTAGTGCTTGTCTCTGTATGTTAATGGATAAGTTAAGAAAGCTTAGATCAGAATATTAGATTTAGGTGGAACACAAACCTGATCATTAATATATCGTACTGAGTGAGATACAAATGTAATGATGTCAGATGAACAGAACTAAAATGGTCATTAATATATCGTACTGAGTAAGATACAAATTTAATTATGTCAGATGAACAGAACTAAAATGGTCATTAATATATCGTACTGAGTGAGATACAAATGTAATGATGTCAGATGAACAGAACTAAAATGTAAACTTATGAAGTACTGTATAAGAAGCTGTATTTTAGAGAAAAAACATTTTAAGAGAGAATTTCATTAAAATAGCTTGTACAATAAGTATTCCTGAATACAAATGAAAGTGAGTAATTTGTAAAACATTCAGAAACTGTTATCTTTCTTGTGCAACTCATCCACTTATAAGCACATATCAAGTATTATAATATATTTTTCATTCAATAATTTGCACATTTACTTTTCTTTGAGTGGTTTTTATTTGTTGTTAAGCACTCAGGTTGATAATGGTCTGTCTGTCTGTCTGCTCTGCTTATCACAAGTATGGAATCTCAATTTTTAGTGTTATAATCCTTCAGACTTACTGCTGAGCCACTAGGTGGGCTCTTTGAATGAACATAAATTAAGAAAGAAAGTAGAACTTGTAGAAAGTGGCAATAATTGTTAACCCAGTAAATTAACAACTTAAGAATAAGTTGAATATAGTTAACCATCTTTTCTCAAAGCTTTCCAGATCATAAATATGTTTTACTTAGTCTTGCATGCAGTGATTGAAGAAGAGTAGTAATGTTTCTCAGTTTTCCATATCTGTAAATACATCTTGCTTGGTCTGGTATGCAGTTTCAAAAACTAGTAGGTAAAGTTTTCCAGTTCATAAATACATCAAGACATATGGTAATGTGTCGTGGGGCTAAAACAACCTGCAGAACACACTGTGTGTTAATAACAGGAGTGGTAGTTTAGCAGTTTTCCACTGTGGTAACCCAAACTATCAAATATTTTCAGTGGATGTGCTTTACTGGACCCTTAATTCACAAGCCAACTTTCAAAGCAATCCATTAAGAAATATAAAATCTGCAATTTTGATTGAATTTCTTCTTTTTTTTTCTTTGCACAAAAGTACAGAAACTTTATTTCATGAATATTTTCAAATTTGGTACACTCATAGATCTTTACAACCTACAATTAGATGTCAAATTTGGTCTAAATATAAGCCACATGTGCAAAGTTATTTAACAAAAACTGCTCAAGAATATTGATTACAATTTGTTATAATGATGAGGTGAATGTTGTTGTTTTTTGAAACAAAACTTTGTACAAGATGGTATATATGCACAAATACTTACCTTATAAACAAAGTACTGAAAAATACTCACTACTTTTTTAACTAACTGAAAAAAGTAGCAATTTGAAATTATAGCTAGATTTTGATAATGTGTTAGTGTAAACTTGAACCTTTTTTCTATGATATATTTCATGATTCCTGTAAATAATAATATTTAAATTACAGAAGCGAGCACAGGACTTTTCAGCACATCGGCTGCCACTTTCCAGCAAAATGACAAAAATAAAAAAGATGATGGTAAGTAACAGAATACTCAATATATATTACTAAATTAAATGTCTATTTTGACTGAACTGTACAGTAGCTCGATACACAGTATATTACAAGTATTTCATTTGTTTACACAGTAATCAGCTGTCACTTTTTTATGTTCATTACAGTTATGTTTGATGTTGTGCTGTATACAATTAATGAGAGATTTAGGATTTTTGTAAATTTCAAAAATGAGTAAGTAACAAATGTGAACCACAGAGGAGAGTCCTCTGACAACACAAGTTGTGATATTATGTACGTGTTGCATTTTATTCATGTGTGCATATACCTTTCAGCATGATAGGAATAAAATTGTAGATGGATTTCACATTGACAGCAGTTAGTGGATTGTTTGGAAAATCTTTTAAGCCTAGTGTACTGCATGAAGTTTTGCTTAATTGCATACCCAAATTAATCTGACATCAAGAAAATGGTTCAGTGATGTCACTTATGACTAGTTTATGGCACTAGAGTTGTTGACATGCTTGAGAGCTTATTTCATTGCTGTATGACCAACACTACTGCTATTTTATAAACAAGCTTAATTGCAGAGGTGTCCAAATCATCTCAGATGGTAAAGATGTCACTAGTTTTTCTCTGAAGATATGAGAGGCCAATTGCTACAATGGACTAACTGATTTGTACATTATTAAGAATAGTTCTTTCAATGCTTTGCTTTATAGAGACAAAATTCTGGCAGCTACTTTCAGTTGATTTACTGATGCCATAGAACTGTTTTTATTTTCATGGGTAACACTGTTTATTTCTACTATGCGCTTACAGTACAAACTGTCTCAAGCAGTAATTTGTTCAACATTTACTCCATATCACATCCTCACAGAAAACATCTGGAATCAGTTTCAGGGATAGATTTCACATCTACATCGTCTGCCATGACGAGAAAATAAGGAAACATTCCCCGGAACTCTGTCCAGAGACGTGAAGTATCAGAGCTGAGTTGGCTACTCTGTGTGTACCTACAACATGTTCAGAACTCTGACTTTTGATCTTGCTGGAGACATTGCCAAACTAAGATTTGTGAAATGCTAGGGGATTTGCAAAGCAGTTTCATGCTCAAGCTTGATTTTAAGAAGGCAGTAAACTTAATTTGTCTTAACAGTTTGGAGCTATAATTTAGGTACTTGCAAAATATATGCCAGTGAGGTGTTTGCTCCCAGTTTATCTTATCGTTTATCTCTCTAGGCACCATATATATATTATACATTAATCTTTATTGTCTGAGTAAACTTTTATATGAAAATTACCAACATAAAGTTTCTTTACCTGTTGTTATGAGTATCATAATTCTAGATTGTAAATGACTTAAATGAAATTGATTATAATTACAGTTCACTTACTTAATCCAGCTCACATGTAACTAGTTGTTGAGGTACTATTTATATCATCAGTTTCATGAACAATAGTTATGATGTGAGCTGGATTAAGTAAGTTGTTGTAACTAGTTGTTGAGGTGCTATTTATATCATCAGTTTCATGAACAATAGTTATGATGTGAGCTGGATTAAGTAAGTTGTTATAACTATTGTTCATTAAACTGATGATATAAATAGTACCTCAACAACTAGTTACAACAACTTACTTAATCCAGCTCACATCATAACTATTGTTCATGAAACTGATGATATAAATAGTACCTCAACAACTAGTTTGTCTGTTGTATCCCAGCCTGTCTTTGGAACCCTAGGGTTGAGTGAAAGGACTTGTCTGTGTTGCGTGTGTAGTGTGGTTTACATATTATTCTGTGTTTTCTCTCATAAGTTCTTAGAAATAATATTTAAATACTAAACATTTTTATGTTGAGTATTTGAATGTTTGCCTGTAATGTACTTGTGTACTAGAAACTACCTTTATACAGAGAGTATACCTTTGTAGATCAGTAAACAGAAGAAACTTGTGCTTGCTAAAATTGGAGCCAAAGAATATAGAGTAAAGACTGAAATTCAAACCAATGTGACATGAACAAACTACTTACCAAATAAGATCATATCCATTATCAAATAGGTCATCATATTGTATTACTGTATTTGTATTAAAACATGCTTTGTTCAGTATTAAATAAAGTTCTGGTACTGGCATTACGTGTAATTGATAGCACTGAGGCCTGTTTTTAATCAAAAGGTAAATATATTTTACATGCTATGTTCAGTATTAAATAAAATTCTGGTACTGGCATTACGTGTAATTGATAGCACTGAGGCCTGTTTTTAATCAAAAGGTAAATATATTTTACATGCTATGTTCAGTATTAAATAAAGTTGTGGTACTGGCATTACGTGTAATTGATAGCACTGAGGCCTGTTTTTAATCAGAGGTAAATATATTTTAGACTTTTAAATACAATTTTCTGCATAATTAAAAGAAATAATCAGACGGTATGCTTATGTAGAATTTGGTGTTCTTTCAAGCAGATTTTCTGATCAATGGATCTGCATACTGCCTGCATATATAGACATGCAGATTAACACGTCATAAAGCAGCCATTTTGAAAACCAATGAAAAGTGTTTCCAATGTCACTTATGATAATTCATATTGTGTTGCAAATTGGTTGTCAATCATAAAAATGGATGTAAATAACAGCACAAACTGAGAACAAAGAACCAGATCAACCAACCATATCACTCACCTAATTAATTAAGAACTATGTCTTAGTTTGATTGGGTGATATAACATAGCATGCATGACTCATGTGGTGCCATGTGGCACACAGTACAAGTGAATCTATACAATGTGCATTATTAGCATTGTGTTTGAATTTTTTGGTATAAGTGTTATATATAAATATGCATAAGTATGTATCACGCACTGAGTGCAAAAGATGTGAATAAAAACTCAGGTTAACACTTATGCTACATTGTGAAAAACACAGGTTTAAACTGTCTAGTGCAATGTCTGATAATAATTACAAAGTACGGTCAAGTACTAGCTGTATTTGGAGAAAAAATAGTATATTTTAACCATGTAACATAGCATTTAAGTGGTGTAATTTTAGCATTTGTAAACAAGTATTATTCCTGTATAGTTGTGCCTGAAGAATGTAAATGGCAAGAAACTTAATAGATATATTAAAGTTAACGTGTTTTTCAAACAGATAATAATAATAACAGCTTCTGATCAGAATAAATTATGTATCCAGAGCGAAACTAAAAATCAACTTAGCCATCAATTTAGCAAATCTACTATATTATATTTACTTATCTATCTTCTGACCTATAACCTTCTAACCAGTGTGTGTCACGTCATACTTGATTTCACAAAATAGAAGGGGTCATAAAAGCCAAAGTCTATTTATCCAGATAGAATAGTTCGATTTCCGTCTGCCCAGTGATGGGGGTGCAAGGGAGCCTTGAGGGGGGGTGCCATGAAACCTTATAAGTGTAGTGAGTTCAGGTATAATAAGCCTAAAGTAAAGACGTAGTGTTGGATCACCTAGCCTAGAGCCAAATGCATGAAATTTATCATGAAAGTAAAAATATCAAATTCAATATTAAACTTAAATTGTTTCTAAATTAAGCTATTTTCTGTTTTATCACCAATGTTGTTAATAAAAAACAAACCTCTTTAATCAATGGAGACTCTGAGTTATGAAATCAACAAATACTTTTCCAGTTTTGTTGTCCATACATTTCATTTTATACTTTCAGTACATAGACTAACAACAATATTAGGTTATACTTTTGTTGCATGTGCAGCGCCCTCTAGATTTGTATAGTATTCATTTATTTATTTAATCAAATTACATATTAATGAATTTTTTACATTTTTTATGCTTATAATATATTTTAGGTACAAACCTCTCACTAATATATTATTTAGAATAGATAAAGCATTTTCTATAATTCTTCTTCAATGCAAAATCAATATTATGTAACTCTAATACGTAGGAAAATATTTCATGATAAATTATGATCATACAAAAAAGTGTTAAATATTTTATTAAAATTTAAAATCATGATTTTCTCATGGAGCACCTATCAATCTCAGACGGAACACCTGTGTTCCGTGGAACATAGTTTTAGGAAACACTGATCTAGTGGAAGTAGTAAATTGAGAACTTCCCAACCCAACTCCATGATCTTGTATTGCATCAAACGTGTCATATGTGGACATGCATTGTCGTGGAGAAGAACACCATTCCAATTGATGACTGATAAAAGGCTTGATTCAAACATTCAAGTTGCTGACAATAGATGTCTGCATTGACAGTTCGCTGTGGATTGACGAGTTCATAATGAATTACTCCTTTGATGTCCTACCAAATGCAAAGCATCACTTTCTGTGGATAGAATCCAGGTTTTGGGGTCGGAAGTGGTTTTTGTTTAGGACTGAGCCATTGTTTTTGACATTTAATAT